AGCCTGGTCTACAAGAGCTAGTTCCAGGACAGGAACCAAAAGCTACGGAGAAACCCTGTCTCGAAAAATCAAAAAAAAAAAAAAAAAAAGTAACCTTTTAGTTTGCCTTAGAAGAGAATTAATTGTCTCAGTCTTTCTTGCTTATGTGGAGTAACCGGCCTTAGTTTCCTTCCTGTAAATGAGGGTGGATAGAGCAATACTAGAGAATTCTGTGTGATTTGTTTAATTCACTCTTAGTGACCTCAGATCATCACATCAAAGGTCCCCTTTAAGGGTGAAGTACTGACACTTTCTCATTGTGTCTCACCCCAGGGACAGGACGTGAAATAACTCTCCCTTACTCCTTATTTAAGACAGAGAAACTTAGTAGATTCCACAATCACAGTTTTTGGAGATTGAATTGAATTGCTGTCATTTAATATAGCAGGGCACCTTGCAATTGTTTAAATAGCAATTCTTTGTATAATCCTTTCTGTCCAGAGAAACAGCCATTCTTAGGTAACGGTAGCTCAAAAATACATTGTAATATATTGACTTATTGCTTAGAGTTGTCGAATTTATCAGGAAATCACTTTTGTATTGAATATATGGACCCATGGATGCTCGGAGAGAAATTTGGGTTCTTTGGGTGGAATTCTCTGACAGGAAATTAGAATTTTTGTCAGATTCTTTTTTGTTTTTCAGATTAGCTTTTTGAAAATCCCAATAAAGTTCTTTTAAGTTAAAATGGTTTTCAGCTGGGTGTGTCTGGTACACGCCTGTAATCTTAGCACTTCGGAGTTCGAGCTCAAATCGCCCAGACTGCATAGCTATACTGGGTCTCAAAATCAAGATTCTTTCGTTGTTTAAAGGTGCTCTTTGAATGCTTGCTTCTTGTTTCCTTTTTTCTAATTTTAGAAACAGTTGATAGAAGTCACTTGTGGGCTGCAGAGATAGCTTAGAGGTTAAGGGCATGAACTGTTCCTGAAGAGAATCGAAGTTCCATTCCCAGCACCCACATGAAGCAGCTACCAGCTGTCTGTCACTCCAGCGCCAAGGGATTGGATGCCACCCTCTAATCTGTGTCTGCACTCATGTGCATGGGTTTACAAAGATATGCATGCTATACCTAATTAAAAACAAAAGAGAAGACACATTTGAAAAAGTCACACATCTCTCAAGCAAATCGCCCAAGGTAGGGAGTTTTTTTCTTAATAGGAAGCAGTAATATTTTTGCCCCTGCTTCTTCCAGATAGCCCCCACAGTTTTGATTATTTTTAAATTTATTTTTATTTTATGTGTATGTTGGTGTATCGCATGCATTGCCTAGTGTTTAGAGGAGGCTCGAAGAGGCCATCGGATCCCTGCAATGGAGTCATGGGCAGCTGTGAGCTTTGTGTGATTGCTGGGAAGCAAACCCAGGCTCCTCTGGAAAAGCTAGTACTTTTAATCTCTGAGCTGTCTCTCCAGTCCTACACTTGACAGTTTTTGAAGAAACCTTGTAGATATCTCTGGTTTTAACCCTTCTTTTAAATTAGCAAATTCTACCTTTTGACATCTTGCTCTGAAATACTAGTATTTACTTAGCTTACCTAGCACTCTTTATATTCTAAACAATATATTTAAACTTTCATTTCCTTCACATTCCCCTAGTATTTTTTTGGTGCAGACTTTGACAAATGGTGATGCTAATACTGTAATTGTGTGATAATTTTTTCCCTGCTACCCCTCATTGACCTGTAACTTTTTTTTTAAGATTTATTTATGTTTACTTCATAGGTTTAAGATTTGTTTTCCCCTAGGAGGCCAGAATAGGGTATCAGATCCCCTGAAACTGGAGCAACAAACATTTGTGAGCCACCTTGTTGGGTGCTGGGAACCAAGGTTCTCTGCAGGAGAAGCGAGTGCTCCTAGCCGCAGAGCTGCTTCCCCAGCCCTCCGCCCTGGGAGTTATTAGCTATCATTAATGTTACACCTTCAAGGGCCAGCATTTGTGATGTTTACATGGAATAGCAGCTGCACCCAGTCTTCTGTGCAGTCTGCTAATAAAAGGTCAACCAGTTGTCCGGGTGTGGATGGTCAACCCAGGCGGAACAGCGTGGGGAATTAGGTTTCCTGCAAACTCCCTGTGACTCCCGAGCTGCAAATTAAGTCAGAGCATTTAGTTAAATAGATCAACCCCTTCACATAACATGTCCTTTGATTAAAAATATACTGCATTTATGCTTCCTTCATACTTGATTTATGCTTTCTTGCACAAGTTTCTTTTACTTTGGGGATTTTAATTGTTTTTTTTTCCTGTCCCTTTGTCCTTTAATCATTCATTTTAAGTTTTATTTTTATTTTTTGGTGGTACTGGGGTTCAAACCCAAGACCTTAGATACTCTGGGCAAATGCTATTCCACAAAACTATACCTCCATTTGTTTTGAAACTTTCTTATGTTTGATACATTCTAAAGCTTACTTTCGTCAATTACAGCGTGTGTGGTTTCCACTTTTCAGGCTCTTTTCCTTTGTAGTTTATTCTCTTGCATTTTTGCACTCCCTTTTCCTGAATGGGGATGTGAGTCTGCTGGTGTGGTGCTCAGCTTGCCTTAGTTAGCCCGGACTCACCCACTGCACCGAAAAGCCTGTTTTATGTCTCTTTTCAGGCCTTTGGTACTTGTTTTTTTTTTTTTCTTTTTCACTTTTCAGTCAGCTTATTCATATGCAAATGGTAATTACCGAGTGTTGAGGGTTCATCAGGCTCCTGCTTGTTAGCCTGTTCACTTTCTAGAACAGGAGCTGAGGCACACAGAACAGGTGGAAGCTGTGGCTTTGCTGGTGTCTGCAGCTAGGGGCCCAAAGGAAAACTAAAATGAAAGTTTTTTTTTATACTTTATCAGTCTGGATCTCTGTCAAAATACCTCAACCCTGAGTGTGGATTAGAGACAGGAACATTATGGTTGTGTTGCTCTTTCTATAGGAAACTAGTAGCAGTCCTGTGGGAGGAATCATGTTTACATTAGTCATTCATTTGTTGGCTTAAAAGATATATAGGAAAAGGGTTGGCAAGATGGCTCAGCAGATAAAACAGTTGCCACCAAGCCTGACAAGTTGAATTTGATCATGGAGCCCACAGGAAGAAAGGAGAAAAGTAATCTCCCAGGTTGTCCTCTGACTCTGTGTGTGTGTGTGTGTGTGTGTGTGTGTAAGAATACAATAAAGGATCACATATAAATAAATGTAAACAAAGATACAGAATGAAATAGTTTGAGCATGCATGTTATTTAAACCTTTTCAACCTACTTTAGTTAGTTTAGCTGTCACTCATGCACTTGCTACCGTAATTATGCAGCTCTCCTACTAACCTCACTTATGAATGAAGCTGCTTTTGAGAGTGCTGTATTTGTTGTAAGGTGTGAACCATAGATAAGAGCGCCAGCGGCACTCAGAAAGCAGTGGGGGCACCACTAGTGTCTGAATGCACATAGGGTGTTAGGTGTGGCTACAAACCCAAGTAGAACACTGTGCATGAATGGACTGGGGTGTAGCTCACTGGTAGTGATGTGTTTAACATCTACGAGTCCATGGGTTTCATTCCTGGAAACAGCCTCCCACCCCCACCCCACCCCATAACATGAGAATAAAGGCAAGTGTCAGAATATTTTCTTTCTTCATGTCAGGCTCATGCAATGACATTAAAATACTGCATGCAGCATTCAGGTGGAGGAGGAGGAGCCACTTGTTCGTTACCCAGACTCCCAAAATAACCACACAGAAACTGTATTAATTAAATCGATGCTTGGCCAATAGCTTAAGCATATTTTTAGCTAGCTCTTCTATCCTGAACTAACCCATCTCCATTAATCTACATATTGCCGCATGGCTGTTGTTTACTGGGGAAAGTTCCATCCAGTGTCTCTCTCACAGGGCTCCATGGCTTCTCCTGACTCCGCCTTCTTTTCCCACATTTAGTTTAGTTTAGTTTTCCCCGCCTCCCTCTGTTCCGCCCTGCCATAGGTCCTGAGATCTATGCCCTTCAGGTGTAATGTATACAGTATTCAAGTATACTACACACTCTATTTAGGTATGATGCGCATAGAATTCAGGTATTTACAGCAGAAGGAACGGATGGTGTCAGGCTTGAAAGCTGCAGCCAGCTGTGACTATTACCCGCGTCTGGGTCTCAGGTTGGAGTTAATACTTACATTTCTTTATCAGTTGATTGATCAGCCAGGATGTTTGATTCAACTTAGTGTGTTCAGCTTATTATCCTAAATGGGGGTGTTCTAAGACAAACCAGAAGTGAGAGTTTGTGTTAGAATTCTTACGACTTCTAAATCACACGGCAGCTGTTTGAAATTAAACTCAACATTTTGGTGAATGCTGTTAATTTTTTTCTTATCTGAACCCCCAGTTATGAAGTCCTGCAGTGGATCTAGCCGCTTGCCTATCTCTAGACACTACATAAAATATGGAAAATGGAAAAATTGATTGATTTTGACCCAAATTGAGGAGAGAGTCTTTCTCAGCCTGCCTTTATCTTCCCTTTCATGGCTACCAAGAGTGGATAGAATAAAACCCAGAAAATATACACACGAGGTTTACGCTCTCAGCTTGGGCCACTGAGCTCAGGGCAATGTTAGAGCTTTGGAGTAGAGTGGCAGAGGGGTGGGGGCGTTTGCTGTCTCTTGTACCAGAGCTCTGTTCCCTGAGAGGAGCTAGAGCTGAGAAGGACAATTTTCTGTTTTGGAAAAATAAAAATCCTCATTCTGAGGGTTGATGAAGCCATAGTGTTGCTTCCGTTGTGGAATAATGGCTGGCATGCCATTGGTGGATGGCTTCCTGCTACCCCGAGTATGACCATTTTCAACACGGGGAGAAAGAAAGGGCGATTTTCTTGCAGTAGATGGTACTTCCTGCAGGTTAGTTTCTCATAAATGCGTGGGAATGGGAGACAGATCTGTGCAAGTACAGCCTACTGAAACAGGTTGAGCGTGAAGACGTTTCAACATGATCTTTCTTGTCTTCTTTTAAAGAATTCAGAAGGAGCTTGCAGAGATTACGCTGGACCCCCCTCCGAACTGTAGGTAAGTACTCTGGTTTCATTTCCCTGTCTATTTTGTAGAAGGTGCTTTGAATAAAGAGTGAAGACAGCACGGTGGCTTGGACTTTAAGGAACCGGAGAGCGGGGTAGTGATCGGCTGTGTGCAGAAACTCTCGCAAGCGTGACTGTGCTGGACTGGCATTGTTTACAGTGGGGCTGTGCCCTCGTGAGGTGTTGGCATTACAGGACAGTACATACAATTATCTCCCGTTGGAAGAGATTTCTTGGCCTTAAATGATGTTTGTAATGTCGTAGAATGAAAGTATGGCTAAAATGTTTGTGTTTGATAGTTAACTCAATTTAACTTGTTGGAAATTGATTTTCAAAAGCACCAAAGCTCTCGCGGGGCTTTTTAATGCTTTATATCGTGTCTTTGGTTCTTGGTTGAGCTGAATAGTAATGAGTGGTTTGAGGCAGTAAGAGTGAAATTTTCTTTTAGTGACTGCATTTCCCGTATTTTTTCTGGTCAGTGTTTATTTGGAGGAAATAAAAGTATTTGCCCAGAAGTGAATGATACACAGGTACATGGAGGAAGAAGAGAAAAATAACTTCCTGCCTGTGCTGGTCTCGGGCCAGCATGATAATTGGATGGTGGCTGTTGGCTATTTTAAGCCCTTTATTTTTGCTTTGGCTCATGAGGTCAGTATTGGAACCAGGCCAACATGGAGTTTCCCTGGCTTAAATTGAATGTCTCAAACATTGACGGTGAGAGGGCAGATTAAAAAAGGACAGTGTTTCCCATGTTGATTCAGTACAGTTCTGATCTTGTTTATCTCATTTTCATATGAAAATGAACCTTTTGCCGATGGTCACACGGATGTGTGGGTCCTTGGTGGCTTAGTTTCGTCTGGGAAGAGTTCTGATGAGGCTTATGTTTGCAGTGACTCTGTTTGGTTCTTTACTTAAGCATCATGCACAGTGCACAGAGCTGCAGGGATAATGTTCAAATGCTGTGCACTTAAGTGAGTTTCTTAGTGCTGGATAAGACCATTTACTGTGCGACTCTGACATGCTTGAGACCTAGAGTACAGTTATCTCAGGTGATAGAGACTGACTTGGGGAGAAATTCAGATGGAATTAGATTTAAAGAAAAATTCTTTCTTGGGATACTGTTTGTTTTAATGATGTTACTTTTTTAAAAAAGAAAAAAATAAACTATTTCAGCCTATATATTTGTAACCTTTAAAAAACTAGTTGGTAAATATATAAACTTTATTTTTTTGCTTGAATTATTATGTATTTGATTGATTCATAGTAAATCTGTTCACCTGTATTTCTTTTTATGGTATTGAGGGTAGAACTTGGAGCCTTGGATATGACAGACAAGCTCCCTACCACTGAACTGCATCTCCACCCACTGTTACTTTGAGACAGGATCTCATTATGTATCACACACCGGCTTTGAACCTTTCCTCTCCCTTCCACAGCCTCCTGAGCACCGGGATTGCATGCATGTACCCCTGTGCTCAGATTACCCCAATATAGTTCACTAGAAATGTGGTTAGCGTCTGCAGAAAGAGAAGGATGATGAACTCCGGTTTGCTTTTGTTCAGAGCTGACAATAGCTTTGTGGTTGATGTTTAAAGGATCTGGTGTGCGGACTAAGGACCTAGCTTACGATAATATAGCAAGTGAATGTTTCCTATGTAATGGGGGAGTCCCTCCCTGAGTCTTCATGCAGCTCTCATTTCCAAAGAAATGCTGCAAAGTCTGTCCTTTGGTCAATGGACAGTTTGTAATCAGCTCTCCCAGATGACGCTGCGGGGCATGTTTGGGGCTCTACTTGTTCACTCAGACAGGGAGGGGAGGAGAGTTTGATCTCTGGGTCACCTGGCTGTGTCTGTGGAGGTGTCACTTTGCACACAGTTCACGACTCAGTCTGTCAGGCTAGGTACGGAGGCTCTGGGTTTTGACCCCTATTTTAATGTGATGTCTTAGTTAAAAAACACGAGGAACAGATTGAAGGAACAAATTTTTAGCTATCATGGAGGCCTTGAGTGAAGTAGCTATTCCCCCACTCCAATTTCATATTCAGTGGAGACAGCCATAGTTGTGTGAGCCATTTCCAGAGGAAATTGTCTTGTAGTAGAGTATTGGCTCACTCCATCCATGCAATCTCCCAGTGACCTCTCCAGTAGTTCTTCAATAGAGCGCCCACAAGTGATTTAACAGGCTAAATTATTTTATGTAGGAAAAACACATTTGCACGTGTTAAATTTTCTTTGCATGTTTTACTCTTGAGAAAGGTAAAAATAAAATACATGGTTTTTTTTGGGGGGGTGTCTGTGTTTGTTTTTTAAGGTGGGTTAATTTTTCCTTTATCAGTTTTCTTTTGTGTACATCAGAGTGTAAATGTTTAGAGTGTAAATGTTTCTAAGCAGTCAGCTGCATTATGTGTCCAAGAAAAGGTTTCCGCTCATAGAATCTGCCTGTGGGGTCATAGCTAGAGGAAATTCTCCATCCCTTCTGAATTAAAATGTGTATGAGGTGTGAGATCGGAGCTGAACTGCAGTTGTGAATTACCCACACCATTTGTTAAAGACAGGGCCTTGCTGCTGAGTTGTCTCTTTCTCTGCCTTTCTCTCACCGTTTTCTAAGTTTCTGGACAAACTAATGGATTCCATCATGGCTTTCTCTTGCATACATGCTGTTATACTTTGTTCTAACTTGTCCCTCTCTCCTGCTTGCCCCTCCTGTGACCCTTGCCCCTCCCAGTGGTTCCTTTTCTCTCTTGAGTCCTCCCTCCTGCTCTCTACCACATAGATCTCTTTATGTTCTCTCACCAAAATATTTCCCCACTGTCTTCAGGAGTCCCTCTTTTTTTTTTTTTTTGATGGCCTGCATACATGCATGTGCATGGACACAAACACACACACACACACACACAGAGTTTTAAATCTAGGTTCTACATGTGAGAGAACACCTGGTCTTTGAGTCTGTACACATTGCTTGACAAAATAATTTCCAGTTCCATCTATTTCCCTGCAGATGTTATGATTTCGTTTCTCTTTATAGCTGAGTAACATTCCATTGCGTGTAGGTGCCACACTTTTGTTACCCACTCATCTGGGTGATGGACATCAGGATCAAACCTCAGTAAAGAGCCATGCGCGTCCCTCTGGTGTGTCACTTTGAAGTTCTTTGGTGATACTCTAGTGGCCCAGATGGCTTATATGGCAGTTCTAGCTGTGTTTTTTGAGGAACCTCCATACTGATTTTCCATATTGGCTACACCAGTTTACCCTCCCACCAGTAGTGAACAGGGTTCCCTCCCCTCATACTCTCTGGCAATTGTTTTCAAAGTAATAGTCATTCTGCCTAGAGTGACTGGGATCTCAGAGCAGTTCTAATTTGCATTTCCCCCCTAACTAATTGTGTATTTGACACCTTTTTTCAAGCGTTTATTGGCCATTGTATTTCTTCTTTTGAGAAATGTATTTTCAGCATACTAGCCTGTTTATTAATTGGATGGTTTGTTCTTTAATTTTTGCTGTTCTTTATATATTCTAAATATTAATTCTCTGTCTGATGTGTATTTGGCAGAATTTTTTCTCATTCTATAGGCCATCTCTTTACTCTGAAGATCTTTCCTTAGTAATCCCACTTGCCAATCCTTGGAATTATTTCCTGTGCTTCTGATGAATTATCTTGACACCCCTGTTGGGAATCACTGTGTTGTAAACATGAAGATTTATTGCTGAACTCTCTGTTCTTTCTGTACGTGTGTGTGTGTGTGTGTGTGTGTGTGTGTGTGTGTGTGTGTGGCTTTCTTATGCCAGTACCACACATTCTGGTTAATGTGTCTTTTGTGAGCGTGAACCGGACTGTGTCCATCCTCCAGCTGGCATGCTTCTCCTTATCTCTCCCCATTGTTCAGGTTTTCTTAGCTGTCACCTCTTCTGTGGCACTGACCCACTGTAGTGATGAAGAGAGTAAGTTAGTAGAGGAAAACAGGATGTTCTAAATCATTGTTATTGAAACAGTATGAAGGGAAGGTATTCGTGTGTGTGTATGTATGTGTTTAGGTGTATGCATGAGTGGGTATGTATGTTTCTTCAAACCGTATTGTAGCACGCACTGGAAATCCGATTTCCAGTAAGTAGGATTCTTCTGTGCCTGTCTGTGTGGTGGTGTCTTAGGGAGAGTACCCAGTTCAGAAGTCTTGTTGGCCTCACAGCTTCTTTCCCTTCTGGTTGGTCGCTGTAAGAGCAGAATAACAGTCTGTGGATGTGGAAGAATGGTTGTACGAGATATTTATTCTTTTTATTGCTTGGAACTTAAGCACCTTGCTCAGAGTTACACAGACAAAAGCAGATGATTTGAATTTAATAGATTCAAGTGTTTTTAAAATGTTTTTTATTCTTTGAACATTTCATTCGTTTCTATGATGTATATTGACCACATCTATCTACTACCACACCTCCAACTCTTCCCAGTACCCCTGCCCCACCTCCTTCCCAGCTGTGTGTTCTCTTTTATTTTGTGATTATTAATAACCCTGAGTCCTGTTACTCCTGCACATAAGCACATGGGTGTGTGCCCATCCAACATACCAGCGACCACATCCCAAAGGAGAGTGACTCCCTCAGCAGTCACCAGCCGCAGGTAGCCCCTCTGATAGGAGTGTGGCCCTTCCCCATCCCTGGTGCAGTGCAGATACCATAGCTCCTGTGATGTGATGCATCCTGCAGCTACCTCATGTCCAGGAGTCCACATCCCACAGCTCTCCTCCCCAGCCGCTGTTGTTTCTTTCTGGAGTTCCCTGAGCCTTGGGAGGTTGATGGAGAGGACCATCTACAGTGGTGGACTCGGAGTTATTATCTTCAGCATTGTGACCAGTTAGAAGACAGCATTACTCCTTCAAGAAGAAAATTCTTTAACCAAGGTTTAGAGTGGCGGGGCTCTGTGGCTCTGTGGCTCTGAACATCTAGCATAGTGTTGACCACGTGATCACTAAGCAGAACAAGTGTGTTCTCCCTTCTC